TTCCGGTTTTATCGCTTTTGTCTTTGTTCTTCCGGTTTAACACTAGCAGCATTGTAAACAATGATTTGTATTCGGTATAAATCACAGCTATTTCAAATTGACTGGCAGGAGGACATAGAAATGGCCCAAAATCATTGGATGAGGATGTTTTTAATAACTCTGTAGTGTCCCGTGGTGTTGATGAACCCTATGAGGAACCTACAAGAAGTACCAAAACAGCCGGTCGGACTGCTTACTTAGGCTCATGTCGACATTTTATAATAACTCTCACTGCCAGAAGGGTAGACAAAGGTCCACAGTGTTGACATTTATAATTTAAAAAAGCTAACTTAGAGACCAGCATCAATTAACCTGTCAGTGTGCTTTTCACTAGCTAACTATACCTATTTAACTGGCCAACTTTAGCTATCCAGCCTAGAGAATGTTAGCTATTTAGCTAGCGAATGTGATGTATCTATCTATCTGTCTATAAATAAAGTTAGCTAGCATTCCCTATCTATCTACCTAGTTAGCTAGCTAACATTCCCTATCTATCTACCTAGTTAGCTAGCTTACCTATAGCTAGCTAACTAACAAGCTAGCTAGAGAATGGGTCTTTCTCAATGTCTTCCAAGTCACTTCCTTCAGAAGCTAGGCAATAATCCTTCCTGGCATTCGGAAAACGAAGAGTGGAACAGGCGAGCAAGTGTGCAGGTGTGTGTCATATGAGAGCCCCCGCCTTACATTTTCCGCCACAGATTTGGGGAAATTGGTCTGTGCGCAAAGCATTGTGGGGATTTTAAGACCGCGGAGTCTACACCAGGCGCGCCGGATTCATTTTAGAAGTGAGGGGGCCAAAAAAAGTGCGTGTGTATGGCCCAATCCCAAACCACGCCCTACACCCTACCCCTACACACTCCCCCTCCGTGACGGAGTGAACTCCGTGGAGTGACACATTAAGCTCCCTCCTGTCAGATGGAGGGAGTAAACACAGCGGCGAGCTTTGGGACGACCCTCTCTCTGGCAGAAACAGGAAATGCCCTAACTGTATGTAGGCCTAACAACGGTTTCAAATCAGCATCTCTTTGACAAAAAATGTAAATTAATAACTCAAATAAAACTCCAAACATCTTTAATTGTGTTACTTTTTTGTAAAGCTATTTTAGTTTTAAACCTGATGTTTATAATTTCTTAGTTTTTGCAACAGTCTGTAAATATACACAACTTTATAATAAAATGCACACAATTACCTTTTTCTAGACTAAACACAGGTTTGATCCTAAGTTAAAAAAATATGAGGTTATCATGAGGTTGTTAACATCGCAATTTATCACTATCGTGGTTTTGCAAATAATTAACCACTCTCTGTTTTTGTACCATTCTGCGTTGAAGTAGGCCTACCTTCTCTTTGCCCAAATAATCTACTAGCGGTCTCCTTTTTTCCGATAGTTAGCTGTACAGCTTTACCCCATACTTGCCAACCCTCCCTCCCGATTTCACTGCCCTCTCCCGGTTTCCTCCCAGGGTCATATTTCTCCGCATTTCTCCCGATTTCTGACAAAATCAGATTTACTCAGGACTGTTTCCACTCGGACTTTAATACAGCTACACCATTGTTTGGTTTCCATGGTAGCGCGTATCTTTAGCAGCGTGCGCAACTGAAAGTCTGAGAGGGTGGGGAAAATAGTCACAGAAAACAGAACAATAATTGACAACTCTGCTCACTCCTGTCCTTCATATATGCTCCATAAAGGATGGAGCTACAGGCCGCAAGGCAGTGCCCTTACAACTACAATAGGCATGTTAATGTTAATCCAGCTCCGGCGATCCACTAGCACCCCTCCCCCGCTGTGGTTTTGAAATGCTCCCGATTTCTGAGGTCTCAAGGTTGGCAAGTATCATTCATATTTACCCGCCTCAATGTCCCGACAACAAACCTCCATGCAGTCGGAACCAGCCTGTTTCGGTTCAACAACGGCGGCGGTGGGGGCGGCGGCGGTTTTGACAGTTTCTGCGGCCGCAGAGCTGCTGCTTACGACGCTAAAGTTGGCTTCCGATTCAGAGCATCCGATTCGGCAGTTAAGGGGAAAGTTAAGGGACATTTAATTGACAGCGCTGAGTGAACAATCCTCCGTGTTTGAACCTCTTAAATCGCTGCATAGACGATTTATTTGGACTGGATTATCCCAGAGACTCTAAAGATTCTTTATAACACGGTTTGAGATTTGTGAAACCTTAATTCTATTTGTGAAAATTAAAAAAAGGCAGCAGACGACGTCGTTCATCTGGCTTCGCTGTTTGAAGAAGGTCCAGGCTCCGGAGATGTGGATGTCAGGGATGTGACCTTCCAGTTGTTCAATTTAAGTTTAGATTGACTGTATTTAGTTTTCTTCTGCGCTGGTTCTTCTGACATGTTTGCAAGTGTATATATTCTTTCTATCTCTAGGTTAACGGCTGACACACACAGAACAACGTAACAAATAAACAAATTAAGCTTTTTTTATTGGTTGTAATTTACATGGATACATTAGAATGGTGTGACAATGTCCTATTTGATTGGGTTAAAATGTAGGCCAACATATTCTTCCTGTTATGTCTGCCTGCTTTATTTGACCTAATGCAAAGTGACCTGCTCCATCGAAATCAGTCGCATTGACCCGAAGACACATTTTGATTCCTAGCTTTCTAATGATATCAGGATTGTTTTTGTAGGCTACTCCAAATATTAAGCAAAATATGTCACATTATATAATGACTGTTACAGAGTCATCATTTTGAGAAAAAGGCCTTTAAAGTGTTCTCTTCTCTGGATCGATCTGATTGATCATTAGCGGAGCAAATGATCAAAATACTACGGAGGGAAGATATTTTAGTTTGGATTACTGCACTCACGGGAAACACCGGCTGTTGTTATGCCTGTTGTGACGTTAAGTTACTCCGTTCTCCGCTTGTAATTATGCCGTTACAAGCTTCAAAGTTGTATTTATCATCTGAATTTGCTGAAACAAGTTTAATATTCTGAAAGCCAAGACTTTGTTTATTTGAAATCAGATGAAAACAAACTGTAACGGACCCTGCCGTGTTATCTATGATTACTATACGCTTACATTCATAATGTCAGCGGGAGGGAGGCTACGAAGGCTACGAAGTACGCCGGGCTCGGTAGAATTCCAAGTATGCTGGACATTGGAACAGTCCTTCGGCGGCACTCGATGACATAGTATGCTTGAAATAGTGGCTCTGGAGCAGCCTTCCTCGACATTGAGAAACACCCAATGTTTGCTATCTAGCTAGTTATCATCAATTATTATTTAACACCCTATGGTTAGACTTGCAGTGTGGACTTGTCTCTACCCTCAGGCAGTAAAAAAAATATATAAAACATTGTTGGTGTGGTTTTTAAGCTGACCAAGCATTCTCATACAGCCAGCAGCAGCAGCAGCAGCAGCGCCAAACATCGCTGTACATGTTCAAATTTAATTAATCACATATTGGAAATAGAAATAGTTGTTTTCGTGCCTAAAGGCCAATAGCAGCATAAGGGGCAGCGCTTGTTTCCATTGACTGGATGATCTATCCAGAGTGTCACCTTTGTTCGTTTCATGAGCACTTCTGCTCAAATGTTACACAATCATTAATATCATTCTATGCAGTCCTTTAATATCTCACTTGAACATTGATCAATCTTGTGATCCTATATCTAAGAATACATTTTCAAAGATCACTACAGGAACTTCCCTTTATAGACACTGACTATCTGTGAAACTATTTGGCACATTGACCACACATGTTTAAGTTTTATTTTAGGTCCCATTTATTTCCCAACATCCGTGCTTTGACAAAGCTTCTTGGAGTTTGCAGTAGATCTGTCCTGCATGACGGTGTGCCTTCACATTTTTTTTCTGTGCTCACTGTTTACATCTGTATGTTTTTCCTCAGTTGTGTTGTCTTTGAAATATATACATATTTAAATGTGTATTCCATGGTTTCCTGTCTTCATATATCTGTATTTTCTATCTCCATTTCAATGTGACGTGACCCGTGGTTGGACCTGCTGTCCATTTGAGTTTTGTTGAAATATGTTTTCTGTAAAAAAGTGGTGCTAGAGAGAGGTACAGTTTAGGGGAGGGAAGCAGAGTGAAGCCTCAGCTACCCTCTCCTGCTGACAAATGGTCTTTACTCACATTCACTAACATATTCTAATGAAAGCAGGGGAGTAATATGAAGTGATACTTACCATTTGTACTCTTTGTTTTTGGCAATTCACGTGTGTACATTCAAAGACTTTACAATACCATTACACTAATTATTCCCATCACCACATCTATTGATAAGGTTTTTACTAATCGACAATAATTTACTACTAAATCTGACACTGCACAGAGCATTGTGCAGTGTTTAGTGTGTATGGGTAGAGGAGTAATATTAATTGGGATTACCATAACCACTGTTTCACCATTGTTAATAATTAAATAACTCATTTAATGCCTTTTCTAATCTGAATAATTTGTATTCTGTTTTAGAAAGTCATTTGGTTTCGGATTTAGATTTATTTTTACTTAAAAATAACAGTAAACTGAAGTTCCCAGTTTGTATTTATTTTTAAATATTCCGTAAGAAGTTGACTTGTCTATGAAACTGCTAAAATAATTTTGCCTCATAGGCACAATTATTAAGCCTGTTATGATGGATACAATTGACTTGTTAGATGGAGACATTTACCAGTGTATTGTTTTATTGAGAGAACGTTATTGCCACTTTTATTATAAAATATTTGTTATTGACTTTTTATGTATATAACTGTCATATCACTGCGCTCATATATGATGTATGTACACAGTGATGCAGACACATTGTTAAGGCTGTATGATAAAATACACTGCTATTCCCTTTAATCACCTAATAACTTGTGCCGTTTTCTGTTTACAACTGTGTATTTTAACCGAATAGCACAGTCCATGAGCAGTTTCATCTTTCCTTTCAACAATATTGTAATGCATTTCCTGTGTTCCTATATCCAGATGAGAAAGTGATGGCTGACGATGAATTTACATGTGATATCTTCCGCTTCCTGCAGCTTTTGTGTGAAGGCCACAATAACGGTGAGTGACTACCAAACACTGGGGGTAAATGGTAAATGGACTGCACTTACAGTATATAGCGCTTTTCCAGTCTTTTCAACCATACACAGGGAATATACATACGTACAGTTACAGTATATGCATATACAGGTTAGCATTCACCCATTCACAAACACTCATACAGAGGAAGAGGCTGCCACATAAGGTACCACCTGCTCAGGAAGACCCTAACACGCAGACACGTGCAAACATTGTTGGACATTGGTAGCAATTTGGTGCAAGGACACTTCAACATATTAATTGCAGGGGCTTTGGATCGGACCACCAACCCTCCTATCGGAGGACGACTGCCTACCTCCTGTGAAAAGTGCTCACTCATATAACTGTACTGTAAATGATGCTAGTCCAATTTTGGAAAACCCTCTTTTGAAGTGCTTCATGTTTCTGTTTTTCAGATTTCCAGAACTATTTGAGAACTCAGACAGGCAGCACCACTACCATCAACATCATCATCTGCACTGTGGACTACCTGCTGCGACTACAGGTCACTGATAGGAACTCTGACATCACTCCTACTGACTCCTTTTTTAGCTTATTATTGTCAAACGTTAATTATATTGGCCTACAAATATTTAATATTTTTAAATTGCCGACTGGTGTAGACACTAACTCCAAACACAAGAAAGGCAACGACATCAGTCACGGTGATCGGGCCATTCTTCAAGTACAGATTTCATATTTGACTTTATTTTTTTTATAATGCTCCTCTGTTTTTGCCCAGAGCTTTTTTTTTTTAGGTCAGCAAGGGCATAACAATAGTTATTTAAAAAATATATATGTGCTTAAGTGGCTCTTACATACTGTATCCCTTAACCTCATGCACTGAAAATGTATTTTAGAAACCAATTTGATAGATTAAATTCAATGTAACACGTTGTGTTCCTCCTCCCAGGAGTCCATCAGTGACTTTTACTGGTACTACTCAGGAAAAGACATCATTGATGAGCCTGGTAAGAGGAATTTCTCCAAAGCAATGTCTGTGGCCAAACAGGTCTTCAACAGCTTGACTGAGTACATCCAGGTAAGAATGAACAATAGATTATTTTAATGTTGAATGTTTGAATGTTAATACAAAACATGATTTGTAGACCAGGGGTTAAATTAGCAGTTTGTCACTGCAATGCTAACACCCAATTGTTGTAGGATGGAGCCTGAATACAACATGTTTAGCATGTTCCTCAAATTATGGGGGACATTTGCCTTTCGATATTGCAAAAGAAAAAGGTTTAAATACAGCAAGTACAATCATAAGGGATGATGGAGATATAGGCAATAGGACATCTCAATAAACTATCCGAAGCTTAAGAATGTGGGCCCAAACACGAAATGGTAAGTTTTTTAAATATAAATTACTAACACTTCTAGAATTGGAGAGAGTTTGTGTATTTTACAGAAACATTTACAAGCTAAAAGAAAACTAACACTAGCCAAATACCCTAAAAACCAACCAAATCTAATGCTAACTAATAAATGATCCCACCTTTGGTTTGAATAGGTAAAATAAACAAAGGTAATTGATAAAAAGGATAATGATGGTAAACTAAATGCACTTTAGAGTAAATTAAAGTTGAATCTCGTCATTTTATGTATTCTAGCTTTGACTTTTTGTGCTCAACGACTGCTGCCTTAAGCTCTTTTTAAAGACACAGATAAAGGTATTTTTATGGTGTCATCAATCTAATTCCATAACCTAGGACCTCTGCAAACCATACTGAAGCTGGTACTTTTAAGTTCACATCTCTTACCCTTTATAAGATGCTTTTTTTTGGTCCTATGCAAGGGGAAACAAGTTGGGATAAGTTCATAATATAAGTATTACTATACAACCTACTTTCATAACCAAGTCATACTAACAAGCCATCTGACAAACCAAAACAAGACACTATGGTCAACTAAAAGAACATTATAAAGCTAGATTTCAAACTAAAATATAAGCTTTTCTTTCTGAAACATTTACTTTGAAACACAAGACAATGTTAAAATATATGTCCAAACATGATGACAGCACTGTAATATCCTCTCCATTTCCAGGGCCCCTGCACTGGGAACCAGCAGTCCCTGGCTCACAGCAGGCTGTGGGACGCGGTGGTGGGCTTCCTGCACGTCTTTGCTCACATGATGATGAAACTCGCTCAGGTAAGAAACAGCCAAGACATAACCTCATTTTTTAGCCCTTTTTTTTTTTAGCATTAAACCATTCTATTTCTTGTATACTCCAGAATAATTTCTGTAGAGAATTCAGATCTATTCAGATTTCAAATGATCCAAATAAGTGTTGTATTACAGTTAAACATAAGATGAATTTAAAGCAATTTTCAAATATAAATGTATACATTGTATCCTCTAGTCTAGTCCATTTTGAGTATACTAATTTTGTGAACTGTCTCTCTCATGGTTCCTGCAAAGTAAAGTATGTATTTATTTGATTATTCTTTTGTTTAATTAATAGATTTGTTTGTCTTAACCATCTTTCCCCCCTTCTTTCCTTTGACAGATTGTTTCTGCCTCTTTACTTTTTTTGTTAAAGCAAGATAACCTCAGATTACTGTAGGTAACAATTTACTAAGTCAACACAGCATTAAGGGTTTGGATGGAATACGGTCCAAATGATACGATATTAAGTACAAATATTCTTTAACATGTATTTGTGATGGTATTTTATTAATTTCCAAGTGGTCAAAGTAACACCCTTTGGTTAGCTTCCTTTTTAACATCACACTTGGAGACAGCCGTATTTTTTGATGAAGTTCCACTTTAATACAACCAAAATGTGCATACATTATATTACAGATATTCCAAATGTATCCATGAATGTAGATTTTTTTTAAATGCTGTTTTTAGGTAGCCATGTTGTACAGATAGTACAACAACATGAATTCAAGTTAAGTTGGCAGAAACAATTTGTGGAAAAAACTCAAGGTCCTTTCTTTCTCTTTCATTTTCTTCCTGGTTCTGTACATTCTTTGAGTTCCAGAAAAGCGCTATATAAATATAATTTATTATTATTATTATAATACAGTAAATCCTCCTCACCTGATTTAAATATATTTCGGTTTTCTAATACTGACCAGTGATTAGGTTTGATGAGCTTTGCTTTAACCTGTGTGTGTCTGCAGTCTATAACCTGTCTGACCTAACAAGGAGTTGCCTTGGTTACTAATTCTAATTCTAATATTCTGTTGATTGCTACTGATTCTCCTGTTTAAAATCAGTGTATGCATGAATTAGAATTTTTAAATGTGGAATATCTTTCAAATGTTGAAACAACAAAATACTTATAGATGTGCGCTGAAAAGATGCTGAATGTTCTTTTTAGATATTAAAGCAGATCAGTGCCAGTTCATCAGGATTCAAGTTGTTTGAAAGACTGTTTATTTATATTAAATGATCAGAATAACATTTACATTAAATCTATAAATAACCTCCAGGTTTAGACAAATACCAAAGTAAATAAAACATTTTGATAGTAACATTTCTATTGTCATGTTTCACCTTATATATACAGTCTATGTGTGTAACCCTGTTAGATGCTCCCTGATTCTGGACAACGCAACAACGTAAGAATCATCACCATCTCATTTAGAGGACCATCATGCTTTACTTTTCAAAGCGCTTCTCCTTCATGTGACTAGTTATTATTCAACAAAATACAGAAATCATTCACAATTTCTTCTGTTTATTCCCTATACAGCCTTTCATGTTTTTCAGTATTATTTCTTTTTTTGTTAAGTTCTCTAAAGAGCCATCAAGTCAATTGGACATAATCCCTGAATACGAGGAACATGTGTAACTCGGACACTTGGGTGTAGTGACAGTTTGAACACATTTTGACTATTCAAAGTGATGATACCATACTAAACTGATAAATAAAGTATGAGTAGCTGCTTTCTGGGTCTAGATTTTAGTATATTTATTATTTACTGTAGAGGTGTTTTCAAACAAATACCAGCTTTCTACATACAAAAGATCGATGATTGATTATTCCTTGATGACTCATACGATTTTTTTTAAAGACTTAATACCATGCTTTGCTTCTTTTCATTTAGCTCTATTTTGCTTTTTAATACGCACACCCGCTGACACACGAGAGTGAGAGTGACGGCCCGTCCACACAGCAGTGTTAAAAAATCTTCCAACGCTTCTGCCCATTCACTTTGAATGGGGTGACGTCACGTTGCCTCACTTTTTGCCGAACTGCATTGTGGGAAGCAAAGCGAAGATTTTCAGGATTTTCAGGATTCAAAAGTTGAGCAATGTTCAACTTTTGAAGCTGAGGTGGAAGCGTCAGCCAATCAAATCCCGTTTATGCAAATCTGACAGTACAAGCACTAGCCAATCAAACCGCGTGCAAGCTGGGAGTGACATACCGCAGTTCATTTTCTATATTCCTAAAAATGGAGGAGAAGTTAGTTATTGCGGTAGCAAATCACCCGGTTCTTTATGACCAGTCCCTATTAACTTACCGGGATACAAACCGGAGGAACCAGGCATGGAGGGAGGTGCCAGAGACAGTGGGTGAAACTGGTAGGTTTTCGCCTGTTTGGGGATTTTATATCCAGTTTACTTCGTTTTAACATTGCTATTGCTTTGTATGTCGGGGGTGGGAGATTCATGTGATTGGTTGTTGGTCGCGTTGCTCGCAAAAAATCCCCAAACTTCAGATACGCCCACCTCCAAGATTTTTTTAACGCGGCTGTGTGGACGTACCGAGAGGTGACATGGGGAGCACGTCTGTAACCCGACACCGTTGCAATGAATCGACATCTGACCAATCACGGCTTTGATACGGCCACTAGTGCAGGTGAAGAGGGGGAAAAAAAAAACATGAAGAAATTAGAGCATCACTCGAAGGTGGGTTATTGTATGAGTCAAATGTACAACTTGCGAATGTTGTATAAGTAAAATTGCCATATTAAAATATCAGCTGCAATTCACGACATCAAGAAGGCAGTCTCTGCATAGCATATAGGCTAATTCACGAGTCCGAGTCCAAGTCGGCGTACGCGATAATTCACGAGTCCGAGTCCAAGTCATCGTGCGCGAGAATTCACGAGTCCAAGTCCGAGTCGCGTCAATCAGTGCCCGAGTCGAGTCACGAGTCCCGAAAATCGGCACTCGAGTCCAGGACTTGAGTACTCCATCTCTGCCTCACTGTATAAAAAAGTAACTATGACAAATTATATTTGCAAAGTAGCCTACTTTGTTTTCAAAAAAATTGGTTTCACTCCTGTCGGTTGGGGGGGGGGGCTCATCTCACAATGTCGCTTGGGGCCCCAAGTTGGCCAGGGGCGGCCCTGTATTTAGTTGCTTTGTGTTGTGTGGCTGATGCTTGCAAATCCTAACACCCTTTTCCTGTAGACTTCCACCAGCCTTACAACCACTATAAAATCAAAGATATGTATGGCTTGTGTTATCTGCTGGTGCAGGTCTTCAGGAATGCTACGATCAGCGTCTATATGTTTACGTGTTCCCTGCTTTCTTGCAGAGGCATTTTCTCCCCTCCTCTCATACCTGATGGTGTTTAAGTGTCTTGTCTTGCTGACCACACACGCAAGTCTACTATTTGTGATGCTAAAAATGCATATTCTTTATTTGTAAAATGCAAACCCAGGATCACTTTTGGAGTAGAGCACACTCAGAGGTAGCATCTCTTACCGTTTTACTCTCTCATCTCATTAGAAAGCACAAATCCTCTCAAAATAAGCTGTGATATACCAGCCAGTAGTCAGTACATATTCTAAAAACCATACTTCTCTACTGTGTGTGCTTTGCTGTGTGTTTTGGCTTTGGTTCAGGACTCCAGTCAGATTGGTCTGTTGAAGGAGCTGTTGGATCTGCAGAAGGAAATGGTGGTGATGCTTCTGTCTCTACTTGAAGGTATGATTTATGTCCCTGGGTCGTTATGTCCTTTCCTTCCTGTTGCAAACTCTCATCTAATGTCTTCAAACTGTGTTCTGCTCTTAGGCAATATTGTGAACGGCACCATTGCCAGGCAAATGGTCGACATGCTGGTGGAGTCCTCCAGCAACGTGGAGATGATCCTCAAGTTCTTCGACATGTTCCTCAAGCTCAAAGACATCGTGGCATCAGATGCCTTCCGGGACTACGTCACCGACCCCCGTGGGCTTATCTCCAAAAAAGACTTCTCCAAGGCCATGGACAGCCAGAAGCAATACTCTCCCTCAGAAATCCAGTTCCTCCTCTCTTGCTCAGAAGCTGATGAGAATGAGATGATCAACTTTGAGGAGTTTGCAGATCGTTTCCAGGAGCCAGCCAAGGACATCGGCTTCAATATCGCCGTTCTGCTCACCAACCTGTCGGAGCACGTGCCCCACGACACTCGCCTTCAGAACTTCCTGGAGCAGGCAGAGAGCGTGCTCAAGTACTTCCGCCCATTCCTCGGCCGCATCGAGATCATGGGAGCCAGCAAGAAGATTGAGCGCATTTACTTTGAGATCAGCGAGGCTAATCGCGACCAGTGGGAAATGCCACAAGTTCGAGAGTCCAAGCGGCAGTTCATATTTGATGTGGTCAATGAGGGCCAAGAGAGTGAGAAAATGGAGATGTTTGTGAACTTCTGCGAGGACACCATCTTTGAGATGAACATTGCGGCGTCTATCTCTGAGCCTGAGGGAGACGATGCAGAAGAAGAAGACGATGAGGAAGGAGAGGAAGGCGGGGGAGAACAAGCAGAGGCTGTAGAAGGAGAGGAAGGCAATGGAGATGAAGACCCTCCAGAGGCAGCTTCAGCCTTCGCAGAGTTTCTGAAGAGCGTGGGGGACTTCTTCAACATGTTCACATTCCGTAACCTGCGACGTCGCTACCGCAAACTTAGAAAGATGACTGTGAAGGAGATGGTGATCGGCCTGGTTACGTTTATCTACACTATTCTGATGGGTATCCTGATGTTTGTCTACGGTGTATGTAAGGGCTTCTTCACAATCACATGGAAGGTGCTGTTCGGTGGAGGTCTAGTGGAAGGTGCCAAGAAGATAACGGTAACGGAGATATTAGCCAGTATGCCAGATCCCACGCAGGACGAAGTTCACGGCGACCTGCCACCTGAACCAGGGGCTAGAGAGGACCAAGACGCAGACGGTGGGTCAGACCACTTAGATGGTGGGGGAGAAGGGGAGGAAGAGGAGGATAGCGAGGAGAGGGAAGGTGGACGTCTGCCCGGTTTCAATACTCCAGGGGGACTCGGGGACTTTGGTGAGACGACGGCTGAAGAGCCTCCGACACCAGAGGGCACACCGCTGCTGAAGAGAAAACTGGTGAGGGGTTCTGTGTAATCATATATAAAAGTGTATGCTCTTCATTTAAGTGTTTATTAACTGCAATGCCATTATGTAACAGTTGGAATCCGCAGTGGGAGAACCAGGAGAGGAAGAGCAACCTGCTCAACCCGAAGAAGTGGCTCCTCCAGAGACTGAGAAAGCAGAGTGAGTTGTCAACATCGAAAATGATCAGCTTCTGCTAGAGAAAACTTCTCCTCAGGCCAATATTGTATTGTAAATGGACTGCATCCATAATAGCGCTGTAGGGCCCCTCAGAGCACTTTAACAAGTCAGCTTTCACCCATTCACATCCATTCAACAGAGCCAGAGCTGCCATATAATCACAACAGAGCTGGCCAGCTAACCAATCAGAGCAGTGTGGGCATCACAGGCAGTATGAGAAAAACAAAGACCTTTTTTGAACATTAAAGCATGGTGGAGACATGTCACAGTTGCAGGGGCGGATCTACGAGGGGGCAAGGGGGGGCAGCTGCCCCCCTACTGTAGAGCCTTGCCCCCCCAGCTGCCCCCCTAACTTTTGTTTCCCTAAAACTGTACTAAAACAAACCTACACTATTTCCACAAGCTTCTCAAGCAACAAAACAAGCATTACATTAGTTAAAAGTGAATCATTTTAAATATCATTTTAGGCCGTTAAAAACGCATTAAACTGCGGAGCGGCGTTCACACAGCCCGCGGCTCACACCGCTGCAGAGAGGGAGCGAGAGCTGTCCCAGCACCTATGGATCAGCTTCCCCTGGGAGCATTTCCCTTTCCACTAGTTTTGTTTTTACTAAAGACGAGAGCTTGAAACTAAATATTAATAAAACGCTGCCGTTTGAATCGATAGCGTTTAACAGACGGGCGCTGTTTGGGGCGTTACGCTACAAAATACTACGCAGACAGCGTCAGCTGGGAGATCGATCACTTTGCTAAACTACGCGGTAGCCTACTATTAAATCCACGTAAACTACACATCACAGCAATGAGGCCAGATCAATGAAACCAAGATACATCCTTTACCGTAAAAACTGGATCCAAACACAGCTGCCTGTGTGCGCTTGATCAATACTTTCTGATGTTATATTTATGGTATGCTACATATTAGCTACATGGCCCTAACGTGTAAAGTTATACAAGCATTTGTACCAGTGCTTTTCATAAGTAGACTCTTGCAGGCCAGAGTAGCTGGAGTGATTCAACAACAACACAAAGACATATGAGAAGTGATCAGGATGAACAGAGAGAGGAAAAGGAATAGAGAGTTCACTGAAGAGACCAGGAGGGTCAGAGCAGGAGGAAGCCAGGAGGAGATGAAGAGACCAGGAGGGTCAGAGCAGGAGGAAGAGGAGGAGATGAAGAGACCAGGAGGGTCAGAGCAGGAGGAAGAAGAGGAGATGAAGAGACCAGGAGGGTCAGAGCAGGAGGAAGAAGAGGAGATGAAGAGACCAGGAGGGTCAGAGCAGGAGGAAGAAGAGGAGATGAAGAGACCAGGAGGGTCAGAGTAGGAGGAAGGAAGAGGAGGAGATGAAGAGAGCAGGAGGGTCAGAGCAGGAGGAAGGAGAGGAGATGAAGAGACCAGGAGGGTCAGAGCAGGAGGAAGAGGAGGAGAGAGATGAAGACATTAGTGAAGAAGAAGAAATGTATGTGAGGAATAAAGATGAAGTGTCAGAAAGAGAGGCAGGGATCAGGAGGCAGAGGAGACTCCAGCTGGACCACATAGTATGTTCTTATTCTCCTCACATATTTCATTACAGCAGCTCAATCTAGCAGCTCTTAGTATTGACAAATATTGATTGAAATGTGTTGCTGCACAGGTCACCTCTGAAGAGATGGGTGATTTATAATTAAGTACTTACAGTATGCATAATTCTGAGTATTCTCTGAATCAGGTGCCTTTTGGGTCTTTACATCTTTGAAAAATGAAACCAAAATATTTGGTCATAACATCTGGTAGTGGACTACTTACATTTTCCCACCTCAGGCACAAAATATAAATAATTACTAGGAATGTCCTTGAAAAAATGTAACAGGGTTGAAGTTTTTGACAAAAAGTAGGCATGAGACCTTGTTTATAATAATATTTTGCAAAACTATTGTTTATTTTGTAATAAACAATTATTTACTATTATTAATTCATACAACAGAGTTGAAATGTTGAGCTTGTCAATCTTAATCTGAAAATACAAAAACTGAAATATAGGTAAGAGAAGAAACTGACACTTTTGTGATGTAATTCCCTCAATGCAGATTACACATGGACTGATCCATTATTTTAATAGGAGGGTAAATGGTATGGCGTGACAGGGTTGAAACAAACTGAGGGACGATATTGCAATTTCATAGATAATTCAAGTATTTTTTCAGAATTTATTTTTGATCAGTTAAAGTTGACAAGCATATGATTATATTAGCAGCAACATTTTGGGATAATTGGCCATTTTGATTTGTTTAATATTAATTTAATATGTAATAATGCTTAGTGAGGACATACAAATATGTCTGTCTAATACTAAAACAACCAATTTTTTAAAAACAAAATATATATTTAATTTTACATTGTAATGCAAAACAACCTGTTCCATTAATTCATTGCTTTAAAATACATTTTGTAGTTTCCTTTCATTTAAAATGGTTGAGGTAAGCTTGGGGGACTCAAAGGGCACCCGATTGTTTGTCTGAACACCTTGTTTCTCTTGTGCATTAAGAACACTTGTGTTAGGGCATGAATTAATAATAAATAGGTTATATACAGTATAAAATACCACGTACTGTCCGCCCTCCCATGCCACCCTAGCATGACCTCTTGCCCCCCCATGTCAAATGTTCTAGAACCGCCACTGCACAGTTGTCACAAAATACAATTATGAACCTGAAAATGAATGTGACGGGGTTCTATTGGTCCATTCGATACATAGGCTTAGTCGGTTGTTTAAGCTCCAAAAAACGTTATTTATCATCAGCCACAAAAAAATATATACTGTTCGACAAAAAGGTAAACAGTATAACGTAAATAAACAAAATCACAGTTTACCAAATTAGGTTGTCTGTCCCTCTAACCACATCCTAGCTGTTGCCTTCACTGCAACACTCTGCCGAATGACTCTTCCAGGGCCAACACCGTCCCTTTTGTACCCATAGCCCCTCCCCACAGGCTTACCGTCAACCGGTTACACAATTATCTCCAAACCACATTGTCAACATAAATGTAATTTCCTCAAAAATGAGGAAACTATCCGACCCAAACATACACAGGTTAACTACCTCTTAACACAGTCATTCCCCATAATTAATAAACGCAAAAGAAATAATAAATTGCATCCTATTTAAATCACGGAAGTGATGCGCCTCCGTCTTTTCCACCTTCCCTTTGCTGGGGAGACGGCGGCGAAACTCCGCCCGCCGCTCCCCACGTAAGTATGGTGTAATATAGTTAAATGTATGTTTAAATAATTGTAGACTCACAAGCGTGCACTTGTGGTCGCGCTACAGAAAGGAAGGGGAAAAGGTGGACGTTTTAGTGATGATTTAACCTTATTTATTGACGAACGGAAGAGAGCAGGAAATGTTTGGTGTGTGTGTGTGTGTGTGTGTGTGTGTGTGTGTGTGTGTGTGTGTGTGTGTGTGTGTGTGTGTGTGTGTGTGTGTGTGTGTGTGTGTGTGTGTGTGTGTGTGTGTGTGTGTGTGTGTGTGTGTGTGTGTGTGTGTGTGGTGTGTGTGTGTGTGTGTGTGTGTGTGTGTGTGTGTTGCCGCTGCGGCTGTCAGTGGCGGAGTCAGTCACTCTGTGATCCGCTCCGTCACAATGAACATACTATGTCCTCTTTAAAAAGAAACATCACACATGTTCTCTCCTCACGTGTCTTCTCCAGCACCGAGAATGGCGAGAAGACAGAGAAAGCAGAACCGGAACCTGAGGTAAAGAAGGAGGAGCCCGAGGTGATAGAAGAGAAGAAGAAAAGGCCAAGGCGAAGAAGGAAAAGAAACCCGCGGAGGAGGGCTTTGAGCTGTGGAATGAGCTGGAGATCCAGAGAGTCAAATTCATGGTGAGCAGCTGTCTATCACAGTACATCATTTATGTTGTGAGTGGTGCCACACTGACATGTAACATACTGGTATTTTAAGTTTACTCTAAAAAAGCCTGATATGGTTTATTTTTAGGTATATTTGTACTTGACTGTGTCCATCCATCTTCTCCCGCTTATCCGTGGTCGGGTCGCGGAGGTAGCAGTTCCAGCAGAGAGCCCCAAACTTTCCTTTCCCTGGCCACATCAACCAGCTCTGACTGGGGGATTCCAAGGCCCTCCCAGGCCAGCGAAGAGATATAATCCCTCCACCTGGTCCTAGGGCTATCCCTCGGTCTCTTCCCAGCTGGACGTGCCTGGAACACCTCCCTAAGGAGGTGCCCAGGTGGCCTCCTTACTAGGTGCCCGAACCACCTCAACTGGCTCCTTTCGAACTCTGAGTCCCTCCTGGATGACTGAACTGCTCACCTTATCCCTAAGGGAGACGCCCGCCACCCTGCGGAGAAAACCCATCTCGGCCACTTGTATCCGCAATCTCGTTCTTTCGGTCATGACCCATCCTTCATGACCATAGCTGAGGGTAGGAACGAAAATGGCCCGGTAGACAGAGAGCTTTGCCTTCTGGCTCAGCTCCCTTTTCGTTACAACGGTGCGGTAAAGCGACTGCAATACCGCTCCCGCTGCTCCGATTCCCCGGCCCATCTCAAGCTCCATTGTACCCTCACTCGAGAGCAAGACCCCGAGATACTTGAACTCCTTCACTTGGGGTAAGGACTCATTCCCTACTTGGAGTGGACAGTCCATCGGTTTCATGCTGAGAACCATGGCCTCAGATTTGGAGGTGCTGATCCTCATCCCAGCCGCTTCACACTCGGTTGCGAACCGATCCAGTGAGTGCTGAACGTCGCAGACCGATGAAGCCATTAGAACCACAGTATCTGCAAAAAGCAGTGGTGCAATCCTTAGTCCGAACTGCAGACAGGGGGTCTGCAGTTCGGACCCCTCGACTACGCCTCGAAATCCTATCCATGTATATTACAAACAGGATTGGTGACAAAGCGCAGCCCTGGCGGAGGCCGACCCTCACCGGAAATGGGTCCGACTTACTGCTGAGGACCCGGACACAGCTCTCGCTTTGGGAGTACAGAGATTGGATGGCCCTGAGTAGAGACCCCCTCACCCCATACTCCTGCAGCACCTCCCACAGTAACTCCCTGGGAACCCGGTCATACGCCTTCTCCAAATCTCCAAAACACATGTAGACCGGATAAGCGTACTCCCAGGCCCCCTCCAGGATCCTTGCAAGAGTAAAAAGCTGATCTGTCGTTCAACGACCAGGACGGAATCCACATTGTTCCTCCTCAATCTGAGGTTCGACAATCGGCCTGACCCTCCTTTCAAGTACGTTAGAGTAAACTTTCCCGGGGAGGCTGAGTAGTGTGATGCCTCTATAATTGGCACACACCCTCTGATCCCCCTTTTTGAAAAGGGGAACCACCACCCCGGTCTGCCACTCCTTCGGTACTGTTTCCGACTTCCACGCAACGTTGATGGGAGACGTGTCAACCATGACAGTACTTCAACACCCAGAGCCTTCAGCATTTCTTGTCGGATCTCATCCACCCCCGTGGATTGGTGTTGATCCCCCGTCATACTCTAGCTCTGCCTCTAACATAGAGGGCGGAGTTGTCGGGTTCAGGAGTTCCTCAAAGTGTTCCTTCCAACGCCCTAACACTCCATCAGTCGAGGTCAACAGCGTCCCATCCTTACTGTACACAGCTTGGATAGTTCCCTGCTTCCCCCTCCTGAGGTGTCGGACAGTTTTCCAGAACAACTTTGGTGCCGCCCGAAAGTCCTTTTCAATGGCTTCTCTGAACTTCTCCCACACCCACTGCTTTTCCTCGGCCACGGCTGAGGCTGCTGCCCTTCGGGCCTGTCGGTACCTTGCGACTGCCTCGGGACTCCCCCGGGATAACATATCCCTGAAGGCCTCCTTCTTCAGTCGGATGGCTTCCCTGACCACCGGTGTCCACCAGGAGGTTCGAGCGTTACCGCCCCTTGAGGCACCTAAGACCTTGAGACCACAGCTCCCCGCCGCGACTTCGGCAATAGAGGCTTTGAACACCATCCATTCTGGTTCAATGTCCCCCTCCTCCACAGGAATGCCTGAAAAGCTCCGCCGGAGGTGTGAGTTGAAGGCCTCCTGAACTTGGGCCTCCTCCAGACGTTCCCAGTTCACCCGCACTACACGTTTGGGCTTACCAGGTCTGTCCAGAGGCTTCCCCTGCCACTTGACCCAACTCACCACCAGATGGTGATCAGTTGACAACTCTGCCCCTCTCTTTACCCGAGTGTCCAAAACATACGGCCTCAGGTCCGATGATACAATAATGAAATCGATCATGGACCTTCTGCCTAGGGTGCTCTGGTACCACGTACACTTATGAACATCCTTATGTTCGAACATGGTGTTTGTTATGGCCAATCCATGACTAGCACAGAAGTCCAGTAACAAACCATCACTCCGGTTCAGATCAGGGGGGCTGTTCCTCCCAATCACACCCCTCCAATATTCTCCATCATTGCCCACATGTGCGTTGAAGTCTCCCAGCGAGATTAAAGATTCCCCTTGAGGAGCCCCATACAGGACTCTTTCCAGGGTCTCCAAGAAGTCCTAATACTCTGAACTGCTGTTTGGTGCATAAGCACATACAGCAGTCAGAGTTTTCCCCCCCATAACCCGCAGGCGTAGGGAGCCTCTCGTCCACTGTGGTAAACTCCAACAAAGAAGCACCCAACCGGGGGCTTGTGAGTATCCCCACACCCGCCCGGCGCCTCACACCTTGTACAACTCCGGAGAAGAATAGAGTCCAACCCCTATCCAGATGTAAGGTTCCAGAGTCGACGCTGTGCGTAGAGGTGAGCCCAACCAGATCCAACTGGTAACGCTCCCGCACAAGCTCCGGCTCCTTCCCCCCCAGATAGGTGATGTTCCACGTCCCCAAAGCCAGCTTCTGTCGCCCGGGTCTGGTCCGTCGAGACCCTCCGCTTTCACTGCCACCCTTCTGGCAGCGCACCCGACCCCATCGCTGTTTCCCGTAGGTGGTGGGACGGAGAAGCGGAGGTGTTGCCCACGTTGCCTTTTCGGGCTGTTCCCGGCCGGGCTCCGTGGCATGCCCGGCCACCAGACGCTCGCCGACGAGTCCTCCTTCTGGGCCTTGCTCCAAAAGGGGACCCCGGGCTTGAGGTCTCCCTTGAACGAATCTTAGTCTGGCCCATTGCCTGAGACCAATTTGCCATGGGAGACCCTACCAGAAACACAAGGTTCCAGACAACAGAGCCCCCAGGTTCATCAGGGCACACAAACCTCTCCACCACGGTAACCCCTAGATTCCACCGGGTCCGTCTGTGTCGCGTTACGGCTGCGCCGCGGTTTTGGTCCGGCATCATACCCTACCGGGCGCATTTCAGAAGCGAGCGTCTTGCCTGCCGGCTCGCAGTTTTTGTTGATTTGGGCATATTTCCTGGACAGGCTACTTTGTACAGACAGTTAATAATAATTGTAATATCCCAGTTATAAACGACATGAATCAAAGATGTGTTGCTGTATTTTAGTGGTAAAAAAATGCATTCATCATCATAATTATTCTATATATATAATTTACACAGTGCCTGTAAACCGGAGAAGAACGCTGGCATTTCTCCTCCTACTTGAAAGAATAGGGATAGGGTCTGCAAAATTAGTTTGTGTGTGTGTGTGTATATATATATGTGTGTGTATATATATATATATATATATGCTATATGCTCTGAACGTTCCACTTCCTGCCTGCCCGACATTACTTTACGGCTGTGTCGCGTCAAAAATAGGATTCATCCTAATTTTAGAGGAGCCCTGAGCCGAGACGCTTCTGGGACGCTTCTGAGCTGTAACGCGCCGCGTGTGGTGGAATAGCACCCATTGACTAGTGTGGCCGCAATCGCCGCGGCGCAGCCGTAACACAGCCATAACGCGGCCGTAACGCGGCCGTAACGGGCCGCAGACGGACCCGGTGGAATCTAGGGGTAAGGTGTTGGTTCTTCAGAGAGGTACTTGACTGTGTGATACCCAATTCACCATTATCATGCAACAATGTGACAGAAAAAGTTTAGCGCCCACAATTAATTTCCTAATGCAGTGTAATTTATAAGCTAAACCAAATTTTAATGCCTTGGAATCATGCAGTAAAATATTGTTTTTGTGCTGTGCCCCCTCCATCAGAACTACCTTTCTCGCAACTTCTACAACCTTCGCTTCCTGGTCCTGTTCATCTCCTTCGCTCTCAATTTCATCCTGCTCTTCTACAAGGTGTGTGCACGCTACATTTACTTTAGACGACACATACTGAATTGACTCCTGCAAAGTATCTTGGTTTTTCTCCTGTTGGATGTTTTCACATTTTTTTAGACAAAAAAAATGTTGAAGAATAAAATACTATATAAATCAGGCTCGCAATAAACATGAACAAACCCTTTTCTAAAAACCTTTAGAATATAGAAAGAACACATTTCAGAATATCTTTTAAACGTTTGTATTTTAAATTCCATAAATGTTTTAAGACACTACAGGTTAATAGGGTTAACATGTTGAAATAAGTTACCACCAAGACATTTCCCCTAGTTGATTTCTGCATTGTACGTTTATTGAAATGTCATGTTTAAATATGCAAATCGGGAAAGATCTTATGCTAACTTTTGGCGGATATTGGAGAAACCTACTGACGTACAGAGACAAAGTTAGTAAAAACAATATCTCAATGTGTATTTTGATGTTCCAATAGTCTGAAGGACGCCAAAAATAGCCTACATTCTTTCAATTTGAACTCAACTTTCATGAAATTAGGTTTTAACCTGTTAAGCCCGGTGCCCCCGCCGGCACCGGCAACATCTTGCAAGAAACAGCGTCTGAGGACTTCTTAACATTTAACAAACTATGAATGTGTCATACCCACTTAACGGGAAGAAACTCAGCTACCTGACGATATGAACAATTTTTACCGAAACAAAACACAAGTCTAACGCCGAGCCTCTGAATGAGCACTAAGCGAAAGAGTGCTAACGCACTTAGCACATAACTCACGGTAGAAATATGTTATACTTCATTGGATCTGCATACACACAATTCAAGGGTGGTTTTCACTATAAGTAATGGGTTTTTTTGGACGGAAACTATAATTAAAAAGGTTTTAATATGTTCAATCCGAATTTACTTTAAAATAAAAAAATCTATATTGATTCTGACTTTTCTACATCCAACTCACAGGTTTATCATTGGTTTGAGAAAAAAGATTATTAATTTACCCCTTTTAGAAGTGAAGATATAGTAATTTGTTCTGGGCATGTCATTTTTTCGAGCCTGAAACCTGAAAAACAGGCTCGGGGCTTAACTGGTTAATAACACAGAAATAACTTATAACTTATTGTTGTGTCTGACATTTCCAGGTGTCCGACACACCTCGTGGTGAGGAGGAGATTGAGGGTTCTGCATTGTTTGAGGGCTCCGACCTGTTTGAAGGATCCGGTGCTGAGGAGGATGGGTCCGGATTTGATAACGGAGGTGAAGATGAGGAAGAAGAAGGTCCCATGTACTACTTCTTGGAAGAGAGCACAGGCTACATGGAGCCGGCCATGGCTTTCTTCGGTATCGTCCACACTATCATCTCCATCCTCTGCATCATTGGCTACAACTGCCTCAAGGTATGAGATGTTTACTGAACAAAAATCCATGAACGTTTTTGCGTTTGCTTGGTTTCAATCAGCTTATCTTCTTTTACCTCTAAATCCCTTCAGGTCCCTCTGGTCATCTTCAAGAGAGAGAAGGAGCTGGCCAGAAAGCTGGAGTTTGATGGTCTCTATGTCACTGAGCAGCCTGAGGACGAGGACATCAAGGGCCAGTGGGACAGGCTGGTGCTCAACACTCCGTAAGAGCCCTGTGACATGTTTAGAGACACAGTATGAATAGGGACAAGTGTAACTCTGGTACCGGATGCCAACGAACATGGATGCCCTCTTTTTCACTGAAATCATTTCCATTCTGGTTTGATGCTAGGGCTAGTTTGGGTTCAACTTGATAAAACCACTTAAGAACCAGTTGGTTTTTCCACTGAGCCGAGCCCGAGAGGAGCCCCATCATGACATCGACGTTAAAGTTGCTGCAACACCAGTGTGATTATCCCTTCACATGCGGATGTGGTTCAGCGGTATTTGCTGACCACTGGATTGGTACGCCACTTGTGCTCCGTGGGCTTTTGGCTGACCATTCCGAACCGAACAGTAATGTCCCCTGATGCACATTTCCCTATAAATGTATATTATTTTCATATTAATTGACAATGTTTGACAATATGAACTGTAGTTGAACCAATTTACGGTTCCAAGTAGGGTTTCCCCCAAATCGTTGTCTAAATGTTAGTCAGCGAAAAACGTCTTTGTCGACTCATTTTTAATTAGCCTATTAGTCCAAAAAAAAAAATAAATAATTCCATCTGTGCGCTGCGTGTACCTTGACGCATCAGCCGGAAGTCATTAAGTGAATGTTGTCGGACAGGAAATCCAATGTATGGGATCTTTCTGAGTGTGTAAGGGACGAGCCCCACAAGGTGACATGTAAACTCCGCTGGCACAAAGTCGCCTCCATATCCTTGCCATCGGAGCGCAGCTTCCCGAATGCCGGCATCATAACAAAACACGGAGCTTAATTATCCGACAACGTGTTTTTCTTTGTCATAATTAGGGGGGAAAAGCAGCAGAGTCAGGCAGCAGCCTAGCCTTGTATCAACATATACAGACCTATAATATATAATCCTTCTGGCCTCAGGAAACTATAAATGAAAGCTTTCATTCATGATGAGGGCGTAGTTTGCGAAAGTATTTTTGCTGACACTTATATTTGTCAGTGTAGCCGTTTTCTGTGTAGTATTTATTGGGTTGTTATCTTCAGATATGAATAATACAAACTAGAACTAAATGTTCTGTGTGTGTGCTCGTTCCGACACACATTAAGAACTACCGGAGCATCTGCTGCTGATAATTGTAATATATCCTATACGTCGCGACAATTAGCCTGAATTAACGACTATTGGTCGACTACCCAAATCTTTAGTCAAGGGCAGCCCTAGTTCCGAGAGCCTAGGCCACTGCAGTGAACCATGCCTAACTGGTTTGCAATCGGGCAACAACTCTTAGTGGAAAAGGGGTTTGAGAGGTGCCAGTTCCCCTTCATGGCACTGCTGAGCTGCCCTTGAGCATGGCACCAGACCCCCACACTGCTCCCTGGACGCTATATGCGTATGTATGTTGAGTTGACTCAGGGCCTATGGAGTTGAGCAGAAGTTTTATTGTTTTACCATGCAGTGTTGGAGAGCATCATAAGATATGGTATCCCTGCCTGGGATGGTAACTTGACAGTGCAGTCAAAGTTACAGATCGCTCGACTGGTACAGACTGCTATCAAAATGATGGGGGTCAAAAAACATCCATCTCTCCAAAACATATATGAGCAGTCCATTATTAGACAGGCACAAAGAATCGTGTCTGATCCATTCCACATTCTCCATCCAGAATCCCAGCTCCTACCTTCTGGTCGAAGATTCAGGGTTCCTAAGATCAGGCTGAACCGATATAAACATTCATTCCTGTCCATTACGCTTCTCAACACTCACATGTAATGTAATATACATTTAAATGTTGTTCATAAAGGTTGTGCAATAGGTCGCCATTGTCAGTAGGTGCGTCTGTGTATTGTGTTTGTGCAAACGGTGTACTGTATGAGTGATAGTATGTTAATATCTTTAATGTCAACTATGTTTGTATACGTACATGTATGTGTAACTACAAGACGGAGTCCACAACAAATGTCCTTACGGGGACAATAAAGTATATCGTATCATATTGTATAATAGCTGCCAACTACTTTTAATAAGAAGATGGGTAGAGTGCAGAGAGTACATTTCACTGCGTGCGGTGCTGTGTACATATGACGATATTAAAAAATGGATTTGATTTGACTCCTCCATTTCTATTTCCAGTAGAGTACAGAACAGGCTTGTAATGTTAAGCAGAACCTATCCTGATTCATTTCAACCTAAGCCACTGATCCACTTTGATCCACTAAAGTTAGGCTTGATTAATAAATCCCAGGTTTTATTACGGCCATCATGACTAAAGGAGCCAGGAGGGACATTTCAGTGGGGCTCTACTAGAGAGACATAAGCACTCTACTGAGTGCACTTTATATTAGGTTTTATATATTAATAAAATGCTTAATGTTTAAGTAGTATGACTTATGCTGCATTCAAATGTAGCAGGGGTCAGGTTGAAGACCTTTTACTATACGCCGTTAGAATAGAAGCTTACCTCCACTGAAATATGTATGATGTCTCTCTTTCAATGCAGATCCTTCCCTAACAACTACTGGGACAAGTTTGTGAAGAGAAAGGTGAGTTTTTCCAGATGACTTTGATTCTAAGTATCAAGGAAATGTCTTGCAGTGACATGACATGTGTGTTTGTGTGTGTGACATCCAGGTGCTGGATAAATATGGTGACATCTACGGCAGAGAGAGGATTGCTGAGCTGCTCGGTATGGACTTGGCTTCTCTAGACGTCAGTGCCATGATGCATGAGAAGAAGCCCGAACCAGACACCTCAATTTTGAGCTGGTATGTTCAGTAGACTCTTTACATAAAACCATTCAGCTGTATCACCCATTATCTCGGATTAAACAAACTCTTGTATCTGCAGGTTACCAGCTATTGACATCAAGTACCAGATCTGGAAGTTTGGCGTTATTTTCACTGACAATGTGAGTTAAGTAAGCAGTTCATTGTATCATTCGGACTATGAGAGCATCTGATTTGAGTGATTTTGACTTTCCTCTCGTTTTTCAGACCTTCCTCTACCTGGTTTGGTACATGTTGATGTCTCTACTTGGACACTACAACAACTTCTTCTTTGCCACTCTTCTCCTGGACATCGCCATGGGTGTCAAAACCCTGCGCACCATCTTGTCCTCCGTGACTCACAACGGCAAACAGGTCTGCACATTTCCATTATAAAGGAATCATCAGGAGGTTTCATCTGTTCTCCCATTTGGAACATCTAACAATGTGCCACCCTTTGTTCCTCACAGCTGATGATGACTGTAGGTTTGCTGGCTGTGGTGGTGTACCTGTACACCGTGGTGGCCTTCAACTTCTTCCGCAAGTTCTACAACATGAGCGAGGATGAGGACGAGCCGGACATGAAGTGTGATGACATGATGACTGTGAGTGCAGGGCAGAAATATGACTATAGTACCAGTCTGTGTCGTAGGTAAACTTTACCGTGAGTCTAATTTCTGTCTTGTTTCATAAATGTTGGATTTTCTTCCATCCCCCCGTAGTGTTACCTGTTCCACATGTACGTTGGCGTGCGTGCTGGTGGAGGTATTGGAGATGAAATTGAGGACCCAGCGGGGGATGAGTACGAGCTCTACCGAGTGGTCTTTGACATCACCTTCTTCTTCTTTGTCATCGTCATCCTGCTGGCTATCATCCAGGGTATGGTGGTATATAGTTGTTAGACTAACCAAAAGCGTATTGTACTGTATCTTGTTGAGATCATTTAAATGTTCCCTGCACCCAACCGTTAATCTGCACTCACATGCTGTCAACATGAGCTTAATTACAGGATCTAAACTAAGACAAATACCCATGATTCCTGCAAGCTCTTTTATTCATACTTCTGTGTTTATGCTTCTTCCAAATTCAAAGTTTAAATTCTACAATTCTACTGCGACCTTGATGAAGTTGGTTTTCGCAGCTCTTTACTTCTGGTGATTGCATTTATGTTCCTAAAATCATAAAAGTGGATCCAATGGAAATTTCAATTGAAAAATCCCATTGCTTTTCGTCAAGGGAACTCTTGCGATGCATCATATCTGCACCACTCCAAAGGTAACACTTTTTTAAGATGGGTTCATTCTAGCAATCTTTCTGCAGTTTCCCCCAGCTGTATGTCCTCTTTCAGTTTGCTGTCCTGGTTCAACCTCACTGCCCCTGGGATTTTTAACACACTATGTAAACCCTACTGTCCATTCTAGTTTCAAATTCATACACAAAAGGTTTTGCACGTGGGTCAGTTGACGCACTCAGCATTTGAACAGACAAGACTGTCCTGAGCTTTATTATGTGAAGCTAGCAGGGAACATTTGTTTAGAGATCAGAAAATAGGGTTTTGGAGATGGCGCCAACCTTTCGTAAAAAGGGTAACCTCAAAAAGAAAACATTCAGATCTTCAGATGAATAAGAAATGCTGTGTGTCTTTCAGGTTTGATCATTGATGCCTTTGGAGAGCTGAGAGACCAGCAGGAGCAGGTCAGAGAGGACATGGAGGTAAGATTATTACTTTCCAAGGGATTTAACTAATCTCTTTAACCTTCAACTCTCCATCAGTAATAGGGCAAGAACATGTTTAATCTGCACTGTCCTCTCTGCCTCCAGACAAAGTGTTTCATCTGTGGAATTGGAAGCGACTACTTTGACACGACGCCTCACGGCTTTGAGACACACACCTTAGAAGAGCATAACTTAGCCAACTACATGTAAGTAACCTTTCAGAGTGCAGAAGAAGATGTCGTAATTATAAATATAGTCATTGTTTTGTTTTGAAAATATGCCTTTACTCCTAAAGTTGGTGATAGGCTAGTTGAAACTGTTAGTTTGATATATTTGTTTAATAATAGGCATTGAAAGAGTATGGAACATGAAGGTGACCTAAATGTTCACTGTTAAAACATAGCTTTGTTAAATATGCTTAACATTTGTCATCATATAGAATAAGCAGATTATTTCAGGAGAACATTGTGTCCTCATTTATATGTAAGTTCTGTATGTGTGTGTTTGTGTAACATTGTGGGGACCTTGCTTTTGGGGACAAATGCAGGCCCACATAACATACTGTATATCATTTTATTTTTAGGCCGCCCGATTTGTATCTTTAAAACTTGGCCTAAGGAAAAATAAGTTTTTTAATATGCATTTAAAAAAAGTATTTAGACAATTTGCCCTGAGGATTGTGGCTTCTAAGAACACGCAAATATATTTTCTTCAAAAGCAATCTGCATTATTTCCCTTTTCTTTTTCAGGTTCTTCCTGATGTATCTCATTAACAAAGATGAAACAGAACACACAGGACAGGTCAGTATACATATGTATTTAAAGATAGATATACCAATGTAAAGAAGGTACATCAAATAAGACTGCAGACCTTATTGTCTTGTTAAAATGTTATTTTTACAATATTGTGTTTCAGGAGTCATACGTGTGGAAGCTGTACCAGGAGCGCTGCTGGGACTTCTTCCCTGCTGGGGACTGCTTCAGGAAGCAGTATGAGGATCAGCTGGGATAATGTCCTGCATGGCTAACGTCTGAAGGAGAACGAGAGGAAAGGAGGGGAGGGACATAAGAGAGAGAAGAAATGTACAGATTGAACACGTCTAATATCTTAGTTTTGTCCTTTTCCTGCACATTTCTCTCCTCCGTTGAAGCTATGCACACTTTCACTGCACTGGTGTACCACCTGCAGCAGAATGTCCATGGAATAGATTTGAGAAAAGCTGAAGAAATATAGGAGGCATAAAAAATGACTTTTTTATTTCACAATGAACACATGGCCTTTCTGGTGTCAAATAGACATACTGCAGACGGCCTTGCATAACAATGCATTTATACAAAATGGGCTCTTTCAGTCGCTGCTGCTGTAAACGTTTTAGTGCCTATAGCAATGTCACTGCTTTAGCAATCAGTTTACTTTAACACATTTATTTTAGATTAGAGTGGATATGTTTGTATGTAAGGGTTTTTTTTGGATGTAGCTGCTGCCATTTGATATTTAACGTCTGGTGTTTCAGAGAGAGAAAGTGATTTGAAGGTAAATGATTCAGCAGCTTACAGTCGTATCTCCAAGATCCTGGAGGGAGCAGTGAAAGTGGTAAGCGCTCTCTCGTATCTTCATCCTTCCTCTCTTGAGACTTAAAAACTTGCCTTCAAACGAGCAACCATGAATGGGAACTCTCGTTGGACTGACTTGCCAAGATAATAAACTTGAGTGTCATCTGCATACGTGACATATACCTGTGTAAATCAGCTGACAAACCCAGTTTGCACTCTGAAGTCTTACAATGTGTCCCTGGATGTATGTACTCCACTATCTCTCCTGGTGTGTCTGTGCCATAAGATAGTGATGATGTACACACAAAGTATATGAGGATGCCAAGGTTATTTATTTATTGTTTATACGCAGATCAAATCTTCTGAAGACGACCGTTTTAGCCCGTCTGTATTTCTGGCCAACAGAACACTTTATGGACAAATATCTTTCAGTGCATTGAAATAACTAATGAATGTATTTAATGTATACACTTTGGCCAAAGTGCCATGTGTACAACTGATAAATGCCAAGGCTGCATAGAGGCCTTATGATGGAAAGACATATTTTACATAAATCATAGATTCATTTTATTTAGGGCTTTAAAGAATTTGAAAGATGCTTCCTTGTCAGAGTTTCACATTTCGTGTGTATTGTTTGTGAAAACCACAAAGATGAAGGGACTCTGTCTCACACTGAAGAAAATGCCTAGGTTGCAGTCAGAAGAGATGTTTTTGCTAGTTAGGTTTTTATGTTAGATATTTTTAGGAATCTAGCATATCAGTTATTTTTCTCAATCAAAGTCTCATCCGATGTGTTGATCTCCGACAGTTCTATCTTACTATGCCTCTTAAAGATCACACACAAACTCTTATTTATTGTCATGACTCACTTTGACAGGCAGAGCAGTGGTCTGTTTGCAGGTGACTCTGAAGTGTGTAATGTTCGCTGTGGTCCACTAGGGGGCCGCTGACAATACAGAGCTGGAGGGAGATCGTTACTGACTGAACCCTGTGTTTCAATACAGAATAAACAGATTATTTTAAGGAGAACTTTGTGTCCTTTATATTATATATATTTATGTGTAAGCTTTTTAGTATTTTATTGTGTGTGTTTATGTGTATATCTGACTGACATTATGGGGAACCTTATTTGTTACGACAAATGAAAGTCCCAATACCGTTATTTATTATATTTTAGGGCAAAGATTCGGTTATGTTAAGATTAGGATTACGCAAGTAATAAATTGTGTTTAGAGTGGTGAAGGCAATATGAAATCAAATGAAATATAAATCAATGTGTCTGTCAGTATTTAACATTCAAGGACTAAGATCAAAATCGTGTCAACTGAATACTAAATACATTTTTATTTTAGGAAAGTTACGTTCAATTTGCATAGTCCAAATAATAATAGACAGATAACACGAGGAAATAGACTTGTTCGATTATCTTGACTGACCGAGTGCACCTACGCCCCTAATAGTGTGCGATAATTACCCATGGCATATATGGTCTCAATAAATACATATTTTTAAACTGCATGGGCAGAATTGGGTGCTTTTGACGTTACCAATATAATGGTATGCTTTTTGGTATTTTTTAAAAGCAGAAATTAAAACAGAAAATATCGAAATAAATTCACTGCTTGAAAAAGTCATAACAAATTGAATGATAGAATGAAGCACCTGTGACATACAACATAATCATACCTCTTGGGTAAACATTAGTTTATATAATACACATTTACATACAGTTAATAACTTTGCTCGGGACATTGCGTTTCATTTGTTACATTGTGTTTTTTCAGACTGACCTGTCCCTAAACATTTTCACATGTGCAATAGAATATATTCATTTGATTAAAGCAATATAACTTATTATAATATAGTCACAATGCAGAAACCATAAATATATATATTTAAGTCAAATTCAGTTTTTTACATTATAATGAGATATAATCCACTAATAATGGACAGCCTATACTTAACCAATCCCCTGACGAATCGTTACAGCACGTTATCTTAATCAAATAACGGAAACACCCATGTGTCAGTGAGACAGGCTTTTGGTTCCTGAAGGATTATGTATGAGTGCATATGAACAGCTTGTATGCTGACTTCGTAAATAATTAGTTGTAATGGCATACTGCCTCCAGGAATGATGTATGTAAAGGGTGAGTTCTAGATAAGAGTTACTTGTGTTTCTGTTTGCCTTAAGTTAGGCAGGCGGGGGGATATTTGATGAATCATACATAGACCCTCCTACAATTCCCTTCAGAAAGAAAATGATATCTGGTTTCTGATTTAGTGTACTGACATCATTCACAGCCATCCACTTCAAATTCAAGATGTATAGTCTTTTCCACCACAAACAAACCCTCTGATAAAATAAAGGAATAATGGCAGTTTTTCCTCACTGTGTAAGATTCAGGAATCCATGCTTATTTATACTTCTACTTTGCTAATTGTCAGAGGGATACGTTAACTCCATTATTCTTATTTGCAGCCTGAGGTACCAGTTCATTAACAGATTGAGATTTTGCAGACAAAACATGTAAAGAGTTTTTCAAATATACGTTTTTATGAACTGCCATATATACAAAATATGAAATTGCTAGTTAGTTAGTTAGTTATATATCTAGCTAGCTGATAATATACTTTTACTTCACTTACATTCGCAATGCATCACTTTTTCATGCACTTTTATTTTATTGCTTTTTCTTACGTAAAGTATCTGAGTACTTCCTCTCCTGCCGTTCAAGGGTTACTTGTTGCTTCAAAAGCTGTTCAGCCATGTTGGTTTTTCTTTGTTGAACCGTGCCACTCCTCTTCTCGGTCAACGGACACTTTGCATCCTGTGCCTCTAAAGTAAACACGGTGATGCAGGTCTGGGTTTGGTACCCTGCTCTGCCCCTCCCTCATCACTTGTATATAATGTGGACTCCCACATAGATCAGTTCCTGACTGACCCCATCCTGAGTCTGTCCATCCCACTGACTGCTGCCATGTCCTTCGTTGCTCCTCCTGGCTACCAGCCGATCTACGGCCCTGTGAGTATCTTCTGCTGAGTGAGGCATTGCAGGGATAAGCCGCTGTAGGAGAGACACTGGGATTGCCCTCTGTATAATGTGTGTTACACAGGGAATATGCCCGTATAGCATTCTTGTTAGGCTATCAAATTGAAAGCACTATACACTCTTGCACTACTCTGTAATTTCAAGAAACTATCTAGTGCATGCTTCAGAAAAAAAAAATGCTCAGTTTTCACCACACCTAAAGAAAACGAGTGTCATGGAGGAAGTGTGCCCTTTGAACCGCGGTAGTGGTCTCCAGTCAGTGCCATGCATATGACCTGTGCCCATTTTCCCCTTGGGTTTTCACTGCCGGTAAAATTCTTGCTGGAAATATTTGTAACGCGTCTTTATGTTCCCTTGTTTTCCAGACCATTTTCATTGCATTTCTAACACATTATATCATAGGGAATGTTTCGTGTTCACATACTAGAGATCAAATATGTTGGATGCATCAAGCTGTTGATTTAAATACGCTTGATTGACTACCATTCTGGTCAGTCATCATTGGATGCTCTCTTTAAATGACCATTCATTGATTCATTGGATTTGTTAAAAAAGCAACATGTGCACAACATTTATTTTGTGAAATGATTATAGTATGATGTTAATAAAACACATATAGTCTTTACAAAAGGGAAGGGAAAACCATAACAAGTATAGTAAATGTACCGTACTGTCTTTCCCGACACTGCATCCAAAGATCGTAAACAGTGAAGTCAAACTACACATTTTTATGGACACTCCAAATAAGATAAGATAAATTAAAATATACTTTATTGATCCCAATTTGGGAAATGTTTTAGTTGCAGCAGCATGTAAAACAAAGTATTGCCAACATTTGAAATAAAAAAGAGTTGAAAATAAACTATTTTAAAATATGGTTAGGTTAGGGTTAGAAAAGAAAATAATCTCAAAAAAGAACTAAAAGCGTACAATATATATATATATATATATATATATATAATATCCTCCAGAATTTACATTTGTAAAATACTTATTTACTGCATATTTAATGTGTGTGATTTATTTTGCGAGCCTGGGAGCATTGCACAGTGTGGATTAATATTCGTATGCACTGTACAGAATATTCCCTATCTGGGGCCCATTCATGGGGGCCTGAGGGAGGGTGTGTCAATCTACATCCAGGGGTCCATTCCTGAGGATATTACCAGGTGAGTTTACATCTCTAAACTATCTCGAAAATAATTCTTAATCTTGAAAAAAACGTCAACTCAAGGTCCACTTGTATAAGTGTATTGCACTTTTCAACCAAAACCCTTTTTTACTGTTGGAGCACCGTGTGTAATCTGGGTGGAGCAGGTTTCTTTGCATTGCTTAATATCACTCCACTTGTATTACCTCCTTTTCCAAATGGTAATATCAGAGGTCATTTTACAGGCCATTAACAGGCAAGGTAAACACTGCACATACCTGACTGTATCGTAACATCTTAGGCTCTTTTGTTGGGAGAGATTTATTTCCAGTCTGCCCCGCCTGCACTGTTTGCATTTCTGTTTCCTAACGCTAATCCAACATATCAGTCACTAGAGGACTCAGTGACAGAATGCCTCTTCTGTTCCTTTGGCAGGTTCTATATCAACCTGCTCTGTGGAGAGTCTGAGTCCAGCGACTTCGCCCTCCACTTCAACCCTCGATTTGACGGATGGGACAAGGTGGTCTTCAACTCGTGTGAAGAGGGATCCTGGGGCAGTGAGCACAAGACTCATGATATGCCCTTCTGTAAAGGCAAAGCCTTTGAAATGGTCATCCTGACAACTTCACAAGGCTACGAGGTCAGAACAACCAGGAGCTCTAACACAATGTTCTCTCTGTACCACTTTACATTAACCCCCTGTTTCACATTAACACGTTTTCTATTAAACCTTTAATGAATGGTTCTAAGCGATACACATTCACTACCTGTCATTTAGCTTCTATTTAAGTGGCTTGCATACACCTCATTACCGTAGACATGCCTACTGGCACAATATGGGGTTACGTTTCTTGTCCAAGGACACTTCACCATAATGACTGAAGGGGCTGGGGATTGAACCACTGACACTCTGATTGGTCGCCCATCAGGACCCCGTGATCTAATGCATCCACAGAATGGGTGACCCGCCTCCACTACGGTTGCAGTAAACACGTGGTCCCCATTGTCATTTCCAACAGTAACGCTGTTTAGGTCTAGGAATTTCATTGCTATTTCTACACTGTAGGTTATGTGCATATGACATTAAACCTTTGAAAGGAATTGAATCTGGGTTGGGTTTAAAATAAGTAACACAATCTAACAGGTAGTTAAGTATTGTTTCTATGATTACCTCCCCTGCTATCTTGCGCCACTCCATAGTGCTATCATCTTATTGGTGAGGCGTTGAAAGGTCAACGGTAACTACGTCAAAGTTGAAATAATTGGAATTTGCAGCGCTCTACAACAATTATGATGGTCAGGCGTACCACTGTTTCCATAGAAACACAACAGCAACATCAGCGCAGTGCCGTTTCAACGCTTATCACGTGAATTCAGCTTTAAGGCTACATCACCATATTCCAAACCACTTGCCCCAAGTGTTTTATCAAACTGGGGTTGGGTTAGGTCTTGAATGCCTGGTGTGTCTGATAGAGATTCTAAAGAGTGTTTTGCGCATAGGCATCAGAGGTTGATAGTTGTGACAAAATGTCAACATTTGACCCCAAGGAACAATTAAGTAGATGTAAGAACATATAAGGGCTTTTTCAGTGTTAACATATTTGTTAACACTCTCACTTGATTTCTCCAATCAAGACATATTTGTTATTCTTTTTCAAGTATTATCATTGTCATTCATCATTAAGGATACAGACGTTCACTTAAAGGCATCCACAGGAGATATAGTTGTTGACCAATAATAACTAAATTGTAGTTTTTTATAAAAACATTTACTTAATGCTTTTTACTTAAGGATTTATAGTGAGCTGTCATCTTTTGATAAAGAC